TGCAGTGAATTAAGTGAATCGCGCCTCTTCTGATTGTTACCCACAAATGACCACGGACGTGTGACTTGTGAGGTCATTGTGGAAAGGCGTCTTAAGTTCCTCCATCAATGCTTCCAGTGGCTAAAGTCATTTTTAGAGAAAATAATCTAAAGGGTCTATGTCCTCTTCTGGCCTCTCTAAGGTGTTCACCTCAAGGTTTGCTCAACAGGCAGGACCTCAAAGCTAGAAGAATGGTAATCTGTAGTCAATCCCAGGATGTGGCGTTTGTGACCCAGTCAGCATTCCTGTTGATTCTGATGGCCATAGTCTTCCCTGCTTGCCAATATTTGAGGCAAGGCTGGTCCTCCAAGGAAATTAGGAGAGAAATGGTAGAGCCCATATAGGGTTGTCATTTTAATTTTCTAACAAGACGGATATCTAGTCCTTTATTTGGAAGCACATTTTAAGGTTTTATTTAGGTATATTTGCAACTGTCAGGCAACAAAATGCACTTTTCTATTGTGTACTGTTTGTTGAGTTGGGACATAGGGATGAAGCTCTAAAATGGTCACATATAACATAAACTTATCTCTCACCCATATACAGTTTAAGGCAAAAGCAGGCATACAGATGTGAATATGCAAAACACAGACTTGACTTTCTATTTTTCTAAATAAGTATTTTACATATTTAAAAATATTTTTATTGACTTTTAACCAAGAGAGGAAGTTAGAGGGAGAGAAAGAGCGAGAGAGCCTGGAATGGTGATATTAGAAAGAAACATCACACAGCTGCCTCCTGCAGGTCACCTACATGGCATTCAGACAGGCATGACCAGGGAATCCCGAAAGCTCTATCCACTGAACCAAACCGGTTGGGGTCAACCCCTTAATTCTTTTTTAAAATTGTAATCCTCATCTGATAATATGTTTTTTGCTTTGAGAGAGAGAGGAAGGGAGGGGCACAGAGAAAAAAAAAGGAATATCCATGTGAAAGGAAACATGGACCGATTGCCTTCTGTAAATGCCGGACAGCAGATCAAATCCCCAAACTAGGTCTGTGCCCTCACCAGGAACAGAACATGCCCTTTGATTTAAGCGGGTGAATGAAATGAAGCTGCAAGAGATTGACCCACTTGGCCAGGGCTGCATCTTAAATCTTTAGGTTTCCTTCAAGACTCTGAATTAGTATGACTCAGCATTTGGGGGAGTGTTTGTTTGCATGTTGCCTGTTGGTTGAATGTGTGAATTGGCTGTCCCCTTGGGTGTCCTGATGTGTGTATTGTGTTCTCTTTGCGTCTGTGTTCTATGTCTGTGTATGTCTGCTCTAGTGTGTGCGTGCATGTGTAAATTGTGTGTGTGTGTTTGTGTCCTGTGATACTGTCTGTATGACCCCGTTTGTTTCTATGTGTCTGTCCATTGTGTGTGTATCCAGTGTGTGTGTGTGTGTGTGTGTGTGTGTGTGTCTGTGTCTTCCCCTCAAGGTGTTCCCTGTGTCTGCAGTGTGTCTCTGTGAGCCTGTTAATAGGCCCTGGACCTGAGTGCCCAGCTGTGGCTGGGTTTGTCCAGTACGTGCGTGTTTCTGTGCTTGTGGTGTCGGTATGTTTCCCTGTGAGTCTGTGCATCCCAGTCACACCCTACTGCCTAGGCAGTCTCTGGAGGGATCAGGAAGGGGCCCCTTCTGTTCCTGCTCTTCCAGCCTCTGCTTTCCCCCTGAGGGTCCCCTCTCTGACCTCAGGGATGGATGAAGTTTAAGGAACACCAGGCTGTGGGAAGGGGAGGAATTAGGGAAGATTCTGATGGAAGACTGGAGGTAGAGAGTGTGCATGGGGAATGTTTGTGAACGACACTAGGCTTCATGGAGGAGCTGGGGATCCAGGTGCCTTGGGAAGGAATGAGTGGGTGGGTGCATGTGGGGAGAGCTGAGGGGTAAGACATCCAGGCTCCTAACCCTCCATTAGGAGTGAGGAAGTGGAAGTCCCTGGAGAGGGGTGTCCCTTGCCCATGTGAAAGCGAGGCTGACCCTTAAGGGAGGAAAGTGCCTGGGGCTCCATGGATCATCATTCCGGGACTTCTGGGCTCTGGTCATCTCCTGGGACTGCGTGGCCAACCAGGACACTGGGGCCAGGAGGGAGAATTAGGCCCTGAGATCTCTTCACTGTGGTCTGGGGGAACTGTGCAGTGACTGCATTTAGCACAGGTTCCTGCACAGAAACCACAGGGTCACCAATGATGTTACTGGCAGCATTTTCACCATCAGCCCCACCTGCTGGGGCCCTCACCTGGGCAACGCAAATGATACAGGGCCTTGGAGGCAGGGAGGGACTGATGTTCATGTAAAAGCACGTGGATGCTGGAGTGATCCACCCTGTGCCCTTCCCAGTCAACTCTCTTAACTTGTGAGTCTTCACCTCCACCCGAGTGTGGGACCGGAGGCAGCCAAGGGTTTACCCAGGTGCCACTCAGAAGTGGATTCTGAATTTGCTGCCAATGCCATCTGCCCAAACTCCTTTTCTGAGGTTCACTGCTTCAGAACTTGCCAGTGGTGGTTTAGGGAAGCTCGAGGGAAAAGGTTCACCTGGATGAGGAGATAGGGACCCATTCTGACAGACTTCCACTGTCATTTCCTACCCATTCCCACTCCTCTCCTTGGCCCTGCATAGTTCCCGACAAGAGGCTGGCACCACGTGGTCATGTTAATGGAGCCCATTGAGTAAGTATGTCAGGTTCTCCTCCTGACCACCTGAGTTTGACTTCAGTCTGTGAGTTGCTCTGACCAATGAGATGAGCTGGGAGTGAAGCCTGTCACCTCTAACAGGAGAGTCTGGAAACACGGAAACTGGCCACCCCCTATGTCCATCTCTGATAACACCCATCAGGAACCTAATGGGTGGCCTCTCCTTTATGCTGGTCTCAGGATAACAAGGGTGCACATGGGGTATGAACAAGAAAGACACCTTCTTTAATAAAAGCCACTAAAACTTTGGGGCTGTTTGTTACCCATAACATCTAACCTATCCTAATGGGAATACATCTTTTATTCTGCTCTCTAGGAGGCAGCACATTTTAACATTAGAAGCCAGAGCTGTGTTATTAGAGACACGTGGGTTTGACTTCCAGCCCTGCCTTTAATAACTCTATAATCAGGCAATTTACCTCGAGTCTCTGAGTCTGGATTTTGTCATAATAAAATAGATCCTGAAATGATATCAAGTCGTGGAGAGGATTGAGTGAAATAATAATAATGCAGGTAAAGCATTGAATCCAGGGACTGGCACATGTAGAGAACATTCAGTAACTGTTAGCTCCATAGCTGCACAAGGTGTGCTGACTGCAGACATGCAGACAATGTAGGAAATGTAGACTTGTCGGCCTCTGTGTCCTTTCAAATATTGCTTTTAAGTGAATAGGATAGAATTATGTATATATTCTCATAGCCTTATTTTTATCTTAATAATGTGCTATTTCTGTGTTAAAAATAAAAACTCTGGCCCTAACTGGTTTGGCTCAGTGCATAGGGCGTCGGCCTGCAGACTGAAAGGTCCTGGGTTCGATTCCGGTCAAGGGCATGCACCTTCCTTGCAGGCACATGCCCAGTAGGGGGTGTGCAGGTGCCAGCTGATAGATGTTTCTCTCTCATCAATGTTTCTAACTCTTATCCCTCTCTCTTCCTCTCTGTAAAAAATCAATAAAATTTATTTTAGTAAATGATAATAAAAAATAAAAACTCTGAGGGCTGGAGTGGTTCCGTTTTTTGAGTGCCCTCTCACATACACAAAGGTTGCCATTCCTGGTGAAGCAACAAGACAGGTTCTTGGCTGGATGCTCAGAGGGTGGGTAAGGGACTGGAGGAGGCACTCCACCTGTGTTTTTCTCTTTCTCTCTCATTTTCTCAAAATAAATTTTTTTTAAAAAGTAACTATCTACATATCCATTTAGATTTGTGGTCTTCAGGAATAATTGACATAATTTTCACCTCAGGGAGCATTCTGAGCTTCATGGAGTCTGAAATAATATCTCCAGATAAGGGCTCTGTTGCAGACAACACTCCCCATAACCCTTCCACCAGCCACCAAAACCTAAGGTTGTCATTGCCCACAGCCATTCCGGCGCCCCAACACCAATATTCCCAATGGCCAGCCAGTGACTGCGATCCTAATGCCACCTGCGCGGCCTGGAAAGTTCCTTACCCAAAGGGCAATGCGCCTAATGATGGCTGCGTTTAGCCAATGAAAGCCCAGGAGAGGCGCATGAGCCTGGTGCTCATTGGTTTGGGCATGACTCCCAGATTAGTCCTCCTGGTGGTCATTTTCACCTCTTCCTTCTATCAACTTAGAGGCCCCTGCGGGCAAAATCAGGACTAGACAAGCCATCAGAGGTAGCGTCCCCGCTGTGCAGGGGATGTCTGAGGCTTGTTGACCTGCAGCAGGCGGAATTGAGGTCTCCATGTTTCCCAGAATCCTCTCGATTTACTGAGGTCAACTCAGCGTTACCCCCATTTACTCTCCATCCTACGGTGCTTGCGTCCCTCAGGCCCTGCAGCTCGCGTCCCAGCATCCATAACAGTGAGTAGCTTGTAGGTGACACAGCATGTGACGGGGTGTAGGAGGGTGTGCGCTTGCAATGCCACTCAGTTAGGCCGTGGGGGTGTGGCTGAGCTGTGAGGACTCGGGAAACCCTGGCCAGTTTTGTGTCTCAAGGCAACAAAGAAGGTGAGGAAAGTTTTGGGTGAGGAGTTTTACTTTCATCCTCCGGACACTGGGGCCATGGCTGGTTGTGAACAGCAGAGGGACGTTGTCTGAGGTAGGGTTCTAAACATTTCTCCAAACTGCTGATAAGAGTCACACCTTAAAAGGGAGAGGAGAGCAGTTAGAGACCAGAAGGAGGAGTCCTTTGAAAGATAAGGAACTTGGCAAAACTGTGCAATGAGGACCAAGCCCTGGGGGAATGCAGGCAACACCCAGGGCCAGGGCCCTGAGTAGCCTCAGCCCCTGGGTCCTGGGGTGGGTGCCAGGCCCTCAACAGCTCTTTAGTTCCCACAGGTCCCTGCGGGGGCAGAGCCGCTTAGGGGACAGGGCTGTGGAGGTGATTTCAGGGCCTCACACTTTCGTGGCCTCTGAGTTAGTGGGGTCCTGGGTCTGTCCAGCCTCTCTTCCTGCCCTGGCCCTGAAGGCACTCAGACCAGAATCCTAAGTCCATGACCAAGGTTGTGTGAAGCGGTCCATGGTTTTCTGGCAAACAGTGGAATGAGATGTGCGATGTCCTTCCAAACACAGGTTCCCGATGTGGCAGAGGCTCA